GCCAACCCTCAGGTATTTGGGCGGTAATCTGATTGGAGAGTTTGGATCCAGTGACAGTAGGTTATGTGTCGTCTAATGTCGGTGTTGTTTGTGTAGTAATGATAAACTATTCCTACACAGACCTTAGTAGCGTGAGAGTCAACTGTTAATATTATAGACTGTTGTAGTATTCTTGTTCATAAATGGTACAACGATGCTTGATGGTTCTTACATACAGTACACCAATGAAACACGGAGACGTGGTTTTTGTATGGCAACATTATTCCTACATACATTTTATAAAATAATATAAAATCAATTTTACACAAACAATCCCTTGACTGGCGTGACCAATGAAATCGTGGATTTATCTGAAGCGGAGCGAGGCGCGGCAGGGCTGGGCGGGGTAGGGTGGAGCGGGTCGGGGTGGGGTGGAGCGGGCCGGGCCGGGGCGGGTCGGGGCGGGGTTGTTGTGTGTGCTGGTGGCCTTGGTGATGACGTCAACAGCAGGGGGAAGACAAGGCCACGACCTTCTTCCAAGATTCTCACTCATTCGTAAATTAAATTTTTCTCCTGCCATAATGATGACGTATCTTGCTACCTTCACTTAAGCCACAACACAAACATGACGTCACAACCGTACTGAGACTCGATGGGGGAATTTGATTACGTAGGTATTCTTCTTAACGCCAATAAAAACACAAATCTAACAACTAAAATGGCGTCAACGTTGTTCTGAGATTTCATTCGTATATTGATGCCTTATGCTGGGTGAAGCGGCATTTATTTAACGTCGTGTGTGTGTGTGTGTGTAAACGCTCTCCATAACAGACTTCTCAATAGCGGATATTCTCAATAACACAATCCTCTCAATAATGTACAGAGCTTACAAAAGTTAATCCGATATTGCGAAGGTTAACCGTAAACCTAAGAGTGGTGAGTTAGTTTATATTACACCTGACTACCACCATTACTACCACCACTACCACCATCACTACCACCACGACCACCATCACTACCACCACGACCACCACGACCCCCATCACTACCACCACCACTACCACACCAGTGACTCACACCACTTCGTCAGGATATCGGAGTAGGGAGATAACCTGACCGGCGGCACCCTCCTCAAGAAGACCAATGACCAACTCTTTTTTTTATTCACCCCGATTTTTCCCAGATTTTCATAATGCCCGATTTTTCTATGGTATGTTATCCGATTTTTCTCAGATTTCATACTGCCCGATTTTTCTCTGGTATGTTATCCGATTTTTCTCAGATTTCATACTACCCGATTTTCCTCTGACTTTGTGTATTTTAGTGACATGGAGTCCATCTGTTTTACGAGGGCAAACAGGGCTGTCGTGGTCAGTTTTCAAAGTTGATTTATCATGTCAAGATGTAAAGATAGTTCAAGGGTAAAGTCACACGATATTGGAACATTAACCAACTGGAATTAGAGGACAAATTCAATTGTTAATTAATTGGAATTTCAATCTTATCGCTGTGATGTTGTAACGTTGTCTTGGGGATACTTTACCTAGTGAGGACAGGTGTAGGACTGGTCATTCACCAGAGCAGGTGTAGGATAAGTTATTAGTGAGGGGCAGGTTAATGAGGCCAAGTCATTAGTAAAGACAGGTGTAGGCCAAGTCATTAGTGAGGGCAGGTGTAGGCCAAGTCATTAGTGAGGGCAGGTGTAGGACAAGTCATAAGTGAAGACAGGTGTGAGGCAAGTCATTAGTGAGGACAGGTGTTGGGTAGATCACGAGCGAGGGCAGGTGTAGGACAAGCCATTAGTAAGGACAGGTGTGGTTTAGCTCATTAGCGAAGGCAGGTGTAAGACAAGTCATTATCATCAACAGGTGATCTCCCAGGGGCGTCTCAACTGTGTCACGGTCGCTTGGATTACTCAGTTATCGTTTCCTCAACCCTAGAGATGTTAATGTCCCTCTCAAGAGTTGGAGAGGGAGTGAGAGGCGTAGGGAGGTAGTAAGAGGATTGGAGAGGGAGGGAAAAGTGGGGAGAGAGAGAGAGAGAGAGAGAGAGAGAGAGAGAGAGAGAGAGATGCGTAGGAAGGTGCTAAGAGGATTAGAAACGGGAAAAAGGTTCAGAGAAGGAAGCGTAGGGAGAGTAAAAAGCACGGGAAAGGAAGGGAGAGTGTGGGTCCTCAGGAGGGAGAGTAAGAGGTGTTTTAAGATGGATGGAAAAGTGGGGAGAAGGCGGTGTTAAGAGGAAGGGGAGGCGTTGATCGTGGGAAGGGAAGGAAAGGAGAGGAGAGGCAAGTCGTGGATAGTAAGAGGGAAGGAGGGAGGGAGGGAGGGGAGGTACTATAAGTAAGAAGAAGGAAGCTGGAAGAGTATCTCATTCCGTTTTGATTCGTGTATTTATATTGGGTCTCTGTTTTGATTCAGGCGTCTATAGTTTGTTCTCTGTTTGAATTTATATTGGGTCTCTGTTTTGATTGAGGCGTCTATAGTTTGTTCTCTGTTTGAATTCAGGCGTTTATAATTGTTCTGTGTTTTGATTCAGAGGTTTATATTTTGTTCTCTGTTTTGATTCAGGCGTTTATAGTTTGTGTTCCGTTTGAATTCAGGCGTTTATAGTTTGTTCTCTATTTGAATTCAGGCATTTATATTTTGTTCTGTGTTTTGGTTCAGGCGTTTATAGTTTGTATAGTCACCACCCTAATGAGCGTCAACATAACCACATAATCTAGATCTGCTTTCCACATCCTTATCCATTTATACTTTAACACATAATTTATTCAGCTGTAAGTAAATACCCTTCTTCATTTTTTTAATATTTCCCATTTTTCATTTTCTGTAAATTTGCATAGTGTTTAAAGCATCATATCGAGTGTATGAAAAGCCAGTTCCCTCCCTATACAGTAACTTATTTCACATAACAGCATAAAGAAAACAAATACCGTAGCTTCCGTATCCTTACTTTTACATTCGGGAATTAAAAGAACAAAAATACCCAAGGCTACATTTTTCCCGTGTAACCTCATATGTGTTTCCTCTCTCGAAATTTCACGAGTCATATTCTCCCCCCCCTTCATCATTGTGTACCCACGGTGGTGATGGCTTACAGCAACATCCCTTTATATCACCAAATGGTTATAACTACACCTAACTATACCTGTAACTGTACCTATATTTCTATTCGTGAAAATACAAACAAAAAAAATCCGATTTTAATTATCATAAGATTAATATTTTGCAATTTGTAAATATTACTCGAAAATATATTACTGTAAATATTGATAACGAAGAAGTTCAATTATATTTATCAGCTCAACACAGAATATGCATTTTTGTTTATTTTTTTATTCATTCTTTTTTTGTGAATTACGTCACGCCAGAATATAAGAGAAGAGTTTTTAATGAACCTAATAAAGAATAGAATTACGGTGATATACTGTTACTCGCGCTGCTGTCTCTCAATCTACATACACTTTGCAATTTAAAATACCCACACACACACACTGTAGGCCACTGTTCTACTGTTAAAAAAAATACAAAAAAAAAGATGTTCGACGATAATTATAAGAGATTTAAAGGTGGCACGATGCTTTTTTGTTTTGTTTTTTTTAGATCCTTTTGTTAATAGGATCAAAGTGTGTTAAGGGGATCCGAACTCCCACGTATTATGTTACCTATACAAATGTTTGGATGACCGCTGGTATAAATATTTATTGGTCGATGTCTTAAGGTGGGTACTGCTAGGTGGTTAGTCCTCTGTTTGTATGTCTGTATGTCTGGTTGGCTGACTGGCTGGCTGGCTATGGGACAGTTTAGATGGAACGTAAACCCACCTTATTTCCTTTTCTTTCATTTTTTTTTTACCAGAACATAAAACAAACACAGTAAAAGCAATAAATAACAACGACAATAACAAAAGTAACAACTACAACGAGAATTGAGAATAACAGTAAGGGTTAAACCACAACAACAACAACATCAGCATACAACATAACAAAAACAGCTTAACGTACAACAACAACAATAACAAAACAGCATCAGATAAATTTAACAAAAGAATAAATTGTTCACCTATTCATGTCACTTAAGATCGACATGACACATAGGTTATATAAAGATTAATACATGACATAAAATACATAGATAATATAAATGTAAATAGACTTTGTGACGATGCATAGATTCTACATGATTCATAAATTCTGTAGTATACTTGTATATAGACTCTTCAAAGATGTATAGATTGTAAAATGATGAAAATACATATAAATATACTCAGAATCTATCAAAATTACATAAAATACATACATACATACATACATACATACATACATACATACATACATACTAGCTCTTCCCAAGTTATTATGAAAATTCCCCCCCCCCCTTCTAAAAAAAAATGACCAACCTCACATTGTCCTAAGTGACCAAACAAATTTAGCAGGTAATACCAAGACACCTGAGTGATATAGGATACCTGAGGCTAATTGAATACCTACCTTGAATATTCATATGAGATTAAGTTTTTTTTTTCGACTCCATTTATTCAACCCAGCATTCGCCTTTTTTCCTGATCTGACGGATGGATATTCTTCTAGCTATTTCTGAGGAGTTTGTTGGTGCTTCTACACGTTTGGTCCGTCTTTGCTGTCTTGTTGTCTGTTTCGTTCTGTTGAAAGGAATAACAAATGAGGTATATTATGTAGATTTAGATAGGTATTTAATGCATAATTACCCTTAAATTTTACCTTAACTAAATACATTCACTTGGCTACAGTTACGAGAAAATATCAACTTAAGATTTGTTCAGACTAAAGATTAAATTTTTCATGATTTTAATTAAAGTTGAATATTAGTTTTTTTTTATGAGGGAACACTAGATGTACTTAATAAACGCCGGGAAGAATAAAAACTACGAAGGAAGATTTGCTTGGTGACTAGGTACAAATTAGGGCTAAATTACTGCATTAGGAAACCAAATTAGGGTGACAAAACAGCCAGTCACACCCGGGAAGGCTTACGTAGAAAGATAATTACATAGATAAAATTAAATATTACCCTCCGCACCCTTACCATAAACAAGCCCAGTGATGAGAAAATTACATAGACAAATAAGAAAATATAACGCACAAAATATATCCCGTTAGATTAAGAATTTACATATAGATACAAAAAGTGAAATAATAACATACACTCTCTCTCGATGGGAAGAACAGCTGGCATATAAACAAAAGATGAACACTTGGTCACCAGCTGGGAAATATAACTACCTGGAGACTTTAAATGAGGGAGAGAAATAGAAAGTTATCTTAATAAATCTAGTACGAATAAAGAGATAATTAATTCCCTTTTAATTCCCTTGTAACTTTCTCTTCATATGTCATAAGGAGAGATTATGGAAGAGAAGATGGAGGCCGCAAAAAATATAGAGCTGGAGGAAAGGAAATGATCGAAAGGAGAGTAGATAAACTGACACGTGAATGGATAAGGATAGGTGGATCACATGATGGATGACTAGGAGGAGCAGGAGGAAATGTGAAGGCTGGAGGGAGGGAGGGAGGGAGAGGGATGGAGAGAGGGAGGGAGAGGGAGGGAGGGAGGGAGGGTGGGGGAGAGAGAGATGGATACACCCAGCCTGAGATTGATTGAACTCCTGACCGAGAGATAAGAGCAGATAAGAGTGTAGGAGTATATCATTGGAAGTTACCCCAGAGAGAGAGAGAGAGAGAGAGAGAGAGATGAATGGATGAATGAATGAATGGATGGATGGATGAATGGATGGATGGATGAATGGATGTGATTCAGTTTATTACCTTTACCCCTGAGTTATGAATGAGTTAAAATATATTCTAGTCATATTCAATTAATCTTTATGAAATTTCTAAGACTGTTGATGAAAAAAATCGACCTTTGTCACCCTACACCTACCTGTCAGCCAATCAGAGGAGCTCATTCTTGTGTAAGTTATCAAGATTACTTTTAAACCTTGTCTTCTCCAGAATGTAGGAGAGTTAAAACAAGAGTTAAAACGAGTAAAACAAAACTAAAAAAGGTGAAGTGAAAAAAGGGTTACAGGCGTGTTGATGTATGAAGTAATTACTGTACACGTCAGGGGAAAACAACAATGCAAGTGGGTAAATAAAACTAAAAAGTAAACACCTGTAAACACCTGGCATAAGACTGGCAAGTTGTTAATGAGGGAAGAAACCAGGTGAAGGATGGCCCAGTGCCCACCTCCTCCACTCACCACCACTTTGGTTTTAAACTTTTCTTTTTTATAGATCTTGAATAAATATAATATTTGGCTTCTTTCTCCGTTTTATATACAGATGAGTTTAATAATGGTGGTACTAATATAATAATTACGAGGCTGTAGTTTAATCCCCGCTGCTGAGGTTGAGAGATATATATATATTCTGGTATTGTGTGTGTGTTTGTCTGCGTGTGTGTGAATGCTCTGATTTTAACGAATGACGTCATTGGTAAACAGAGGTAGAATCACTTTGACTGTTGGTAGTCAATTAAAGCTTTTGATTCTAACTATATTCCTTCCTCCCCTTCTTCTGTCCTCCTCTTCTTCTCCCCCTCCCTTCCTCCTCCCGTTCCCTCTTCCTCCTCCCGCCCTCTCTTCTCCTGCTACAGCGTGTGATCCCGAGATTCAGGAGTTAGGGTCCCCGCGGGGCCTGGTAGCCTATCCCTTCCATAACCTCCAGGATGGACAGTGGCGCACCCAGGGACACCTCCACTACGGCCCCGACTCCTGCCAGTGGATCATCAGAGCTCCTGAAGGATACGTGGTCAATGTTACTATCCTACACTTCGACACTCACGCCGATGACCACCTGCAGGTACGTGTTGGATCAAGGCTCCTGAGGTAACTTGTCCTAGTGATTAAGAGATGCTGATAACAGATAAGATAACACTATTTATGACGCTATACAAATAATGATAATGATTATGATAAGAACTGTAATATAATGCTGCTAATACCACTACTACTAATAATACTGTAATGATAACAGGAATAATGACAATATCAATGATAATGACAATATGATGATAATTATGATAGTAACAATTACAATAACAACACATTAATAATCACAACAATAATACCAATAACAATAATAAGTGAAATTATGAACAATATCTTCAATTACATTTCTCAATTATTCCCTCACTGTTATCATCTCTCTGTGATTATTGTTGTTATTGTCTCTACGTCGCTGAGGTGTTATCCCGGCTGAACAATAAAGCCCACCCGCCTGGCTTGCCTTATGAGTTTCCCCGAGGAAGATAGCTATCAAGGACGTGCCTAATCTTGGAGTGTATCTGAGTAGGGGTGTGTGTGTGTGTGTGTGTGTGTGTGGCACGTGGAGGGTTGAGTGTACGGCGCGTGTCTTGATGAGTAAGTGAGTGTGTGGGTGGATGAGTGAGTGTAGGTGGATGTAAATGGATGAGTGTAAGTGACTCATCAATAAAGCCATGACTACTAATTCAATAATGAGAACCACTTGAGATATTACAGTGCTAAATTAATAACTAAAATGACCCTTAAGTGCTATATAAATACAGGTTACTATATTGGTAAGTCAGATAACCATTGACAGCTGTATGGTGTAGATATAGAGACATCCTGAGGGAAACTAATCTAAACCAGCGTTGTAACCACTCGTAGAAACATCAGTAAAACACAGGATAATTTAGTATTTTATGAACAAACTCAGTACTTTGTTGGACTTGTATGTCATGTGAGGTCTTTTTGCTTCACGGTAAATCTGCCTGAGTGAGAGTTGCAGCGGCTGGGATGAATTGTTAGGTTAGGTTAGGTTAGGTTTGGTTTGGTTTGGTTTGGTTAGGTTAGGGTTAGGTTAGGTTAGGTTAGGTTAGGTTAGGTTTGGTTTCTAGGTTAGGTTACGTCCTCATCAAGCCAAGATAAACAGGAGGGGATATTTAGGTCCAAGTACATACACAACAACTTCAGGAGATACACACATGATATTATTATTTGATGAAGGATAGAATGTGTCCAGAACGAGCCTGGGAGAAGAGGATGAGACAGAAAATGGTCATGACCGTAATTATTCTAGCCTTTACCTCTCTGGAATATCACATTTATACCGAGGCGTTCACAAGAGGAGGCTAGAGAATTCACCTCCTTCACTTTCTAAGTTAACTATCAATCATTTTAAACTTCAATGTCTTTAACAAAATATTTCATCTTACGTATAAATAACAAGTAAAAACACAATAAAGTTCATAAATTGAATAAATTTTTAAACCTATGATGATACGAGACATCAAATACGTATAAATATGTCTAATTAGATAATATTTTGTACTTAATAAAAACAAAAACATTACAAACGAACACAACACAACCACACAACCTGTATTTCACAACCACACAACCTGTATTTCACAACCACACAACCTGTATTTCACAACCACACAACCTGTATTTCACAACCACAACCTGTATTTCACAACCACAACCTGTATTTCACAACCACACAACCTGTATTTCACAACCACACAACCTGTATTTCACAACCACACACCCTGTATTTCACAACCACACAACCTGTATTTCACAACCACACAACCTGTATTTCACAACCACACAACCTGTAATTAAGACTTTCCAACGAGTTAATATGATGTTTGGTAACTTTTTCCACACTTCCATAACTCTTATTACAGACCATTGTTTACCTCATTCCTTCCTAATGTCTAAAATTTATCTTAACTTGAAACTATTGTTATGTGTTGGGTCCCGATTTGAGAGTATAATTGATATTTAAAGAGGTTTAGGTTAGGTTAGGTTAGGTTAGGTTAGGTTAGGTTAGGTTAGGTTAGGTTAGGTTAGGTTAGGTTAGGTTAGGTTAGGTTAGGTTAGGTTAGGTGAGGTTAGGTTAGGTGGGGTTAGTCTTATAGCACATGAGGACGTGAGTAGACAGAAGAAAAACATTGACACTGACAGAGATTGACGCTATTCAAGACCTTCTCAGTTTAATATTTTAGGAAGACATAAACGACGAGCCCCTGGAAGTGATACCTTGTTGTATTTCACCTCACCTTCGTCACCGCCTTCGTCAGTCCCAGCAGCTTTAAACTTACATTAACTGTCTGGTCGTTTATCCATGCATCACCTGTGTGTACTGACCATGCTGAAAAAAAAATGGAAATACTCACCCTTCTGAACCTATAACCTGAAGGTGCTGAAGGTGCAACTCACATGAACACCGATATTTTTTTTTTTTTCGTTTACTTATTTTTCTCGCGTTAAGAACCTAACCTAACCCTAACCTAACCTAACCTAACCTCTGTCATGTCTCGTGGCTGGATACTGAGTTAACCATTTCTTTACCACTTCGCTACCCTTTACGTTTTATGGAGAGGGAAAGATAATGGTTGTTAGTGGTGTTGTTTGACATGTAACCACTGGGTTATGTCACGGAAAACCCTATGTGTGAATGTATAGTGACCGTTGTATGGAGAGAGAGAGAGAGTTCTTCATGTATTATTTTACTTTATCTTAAGATGTTGTGTTTGTGTGTCTGTGTGTAACTTCAGGAAGAGGTAATTACGGGTATTTTGTCCCTCAGGTGGTGGAGAATGACACCCTGTCGTTCACACACAGTGGAGGTCTGCCTTCAAGGACGAACTTCGTATCTCGAGGACCAGAACTCACCCTCAAGTTCTCCCCCAAGGAAGACACTGACCACACCGGCTTCCTCATCCAGTACTCGTGGCTACTTAGGGGTGAGTACATGGCTGCCACCTTGTACAAGTACTTCTCCTCGAAGACTGGAAAACTCCTCTCTCGAGAATGTGTAACATTTTCTTATTGTATTTGATGGGAATAGACAAACGTAATCATTGTAAGTGTTATCGATCACAATTACGATTACAAGACATTATTAAGGACAACTCAGATATCTACTACGGTGGTTTTCGTCTCCTAATGAGACACAAATATTCAGAAACACACGTAACAATGAGGCACAGTCCCTCACAGTGAGACACAGTCCCTCACAGTGAGACACAGTCCCTCACAGTAAGACACAGCTGTAAATAGCAACAGGGAGGGCGTTGACACATACCACACCTACGTCACCTCACAAAGATTTCAACAATTTAGACACAATTTAATCCTGGGTAAAAATCCTGCTGGTGTTGGAGGTGACCATCAGACACTGATATTCCCAGCGGTGGGCCGAGTGGAAGATGTTCGCCTCACACTGTTATTTCTTTCCTTAATAGTGACTGTTGTGAAATATTATTAAACAGTAAGTAGAAGAGAATATAAAATGAACTCTGTATACAAAATTAATTCGTTTTGAAATGTAATTTTAACCAAACTGTGATGTCAGTATTTCGAAAATATTTTAAGCGTCAGATAGATGTGGGAAATAGATTAACACTATGCAAAATGTAGTTGGGGTTTATTTTACTAAAGCATATTTTTTACGTTATATATTCAACTAAAAAACTCAGCTCAGGTGAAGTATATTGGTCAAACTTGAAAGCTTATCACCGAGAAGGGGGTTGACAGTCGGTGCCACTGTCCACCCCAAACTGTGTTAGTGGCGCTCAGTTATTTTGATGCGTGTCCGAGGCGATGTGTCTTGTGAGCCAAATATAGACTGTTGGGTCCTGGAGGGGCAGTGGCCAGTGACCTGTGGTTGCTTATGTAACTGTGAAGCTTACATACACACACACCGAACTCATCATTTCTCTATGAGTTGTGAGGGTCTGCACATACGTAAATAGACGTTCCAGGCATAAAAACAAACCTATCTCATCTCACACATTCAAAAACATGAAACTGGTAAGATAAGAATCAGTGAGCTACAAACACTGTGAATGTGAAAGAAAGAAATAGGAAGATGAACATACAGAATAAACGGAGAGAGAGAAAAAGGAAGAGAAGAAAGCTGAGTTTTTCACCAGTTTACAAACCTCTTTCATTTGTGTGTCTACTTATTTCAGTATATCGTTCAAAGGGTGACCCAATAAATTTGTTTGCTGCGATAAAACACACGGGGAGATCTTTGTGTTTTTATATGTATTGGTTAAAAGATGAGATAGAACGTTTGTGCTGGCGGGAGACTCTTGAACTCTGAACCCTCAATCTTGAACCTTTGACTCTGAGGCTTGAATCTTGGGTTGTGATTCCCAGATGGGCATTAGAGCCTTGAGTCCTGGAATCGTGGAAATTCGGCATTAGAGTTTGAATTTCACAAACCTGGACAAGGGATTTACCAGAACAGTGAAATCTAATCTGAATTTTTTGTTAGTCAATTGCTGGAAGCGTTTTAGCAGCCACAACCCGAAAGAAAAATTAGAACAGACAGATAAACATAATTGACAAAGGAAAATTAATTCAGCCTCGATACCTTTATTTTTAATTAAACAAACGTTCAGGGTTAATTAAAACTCATATTGATTATATTTTTTAATGGCTGAGTCTACTTGATTTTTTTTATTTTCATCTGCTTCTGAGTTAGCCAAGTGGAAGCAGCACAGAACAGATCTCATCAGAAGGGGGAGTTGCCCTTTCATCCTACTGACACAAAGTTCCAAAGGGGATATAACAGTGAAGGTATTCGTTAGTCCCTCTCTCTCTGTCCGTCCATCCGTCTATCCGCCCGTCCGTCCACGTCCAATATGGCTTCCACTCGATAACTTTCCGTAAACTCGACTAATTGCTTCAAAATTTGGCGGGAAACTATATCTTATTAGACTCGTGTTGTTAGGTTAAGACAATATCTGTGCTGTAACTTTGTATTTCAATCATTTCAAAGTCTTATAATTTGTAATCTCATTCCGATAACTTTTCCACCTATTTAATAATTTCTTGTATGGTATATTAAGTCAAGCCTCCAGCCCCTAGTCACTGGAGATATGTAGTCATCTACTGTGAAAATTCAGGGTAGAAATGTGTGTGTGTGTGTGTGTGTGTGTGTGTGTGTGGTGTTTTGAATAAAGTACCTACGGTAGATTTCTTCAGCTCAATTCTTAAGCGACCTGTCATCTCGGTTCTCCTTTATATGACCCCCTTGAACATCAATAAGGTCTAGGATATTGGAAACTCCCTGAAACAATAAGAATAGAATAAATGTCTGAATACCCCTTGAGTGAGGCACTTTGATCCCTCAGCCACGATTCAACCCTATAAAGCAAAGGCCTCAAGACGACTGATAAAGGATCCTTGATAATAATTCATAATCCATTGATAAATCTATACTTGTGATGTCATAGGTAGTATGTGACGTCATTGGTAATTTGTGACGTCATAAGTAGGTAATGAATTAATCTAGAGAAAACCAATAAAAGACTAGGCATGGGTTAGGTTAGGTTAGCATGGGTTAGGTTAGGTTAGCATGGGTTAGGTTAGCATTAGGGTGGTTAATCTTTAAGTGATGTAGCCTGGGGGTGTCTAATATTCAGGTAATCCTGCCTAAGGATTGACAATTAGCTTAAATCATCTCAAAATAAAAGCTAATAAATTAAAGTGAGGTGTCGTTGGCTGGCTCTGTTTCCTGCATCATGTCGACAAATCGGTGAAACAGTCTCTCGTAACTAGCCCATTAACCACTTATTGCCAGTTAGTAGTCCATCAATATTTCTTGTTTTTAATTGCTTGTCGTCAACAGAATTGCTAGGGCGCAGTGTGTGTGTGTGTGTGTGTGTGTGTGTGTGTGTGTGTGTGTGTGTGTGTGTGTGTCGATTCCCTTCTCTCTCGTTTATCGATCTCCTGTTCTGGTGACGTGCGTGAGTGAGTGCGTGTGTGCGTCAACATAAACTCAGCAACCACAAACATTAAACATGTCATAAAGGGAATATTATAAAGGCCGAGGTTAATCAAACTAAAACCTAACCTAACCTAACCTAACCTAACCTAACAACCTTGAAAACCACAGCATCATTGACCCTAAATAGAGCATAATTATCTAAAATTTAATTAATACAACACAGGATTATTTGTGAAATTTACCGTAAATAATTTAATAACCAAATTAAAATTAAATGTCTGTAAATATTTAGAGTAAGAATATAGGAGTTAATTTAAGAGTGAAGCGGTTACCTGAGGCAGTAATTTTAATGTTTAATTGATATAAATATACGATTTAAAAAAAAACAATAAAATTACCGGTTAAATAACTAACTGGTTACTAATTTACCTGAGGAAATTGGTGACGAAATGAACGGTGACTAAATTACCGGTAACGATTGGCCGCCCACCTTGGTTTACGAATACGAAAATACTCTCTCTCTCTCTCTCTCTCTCTCTCTCTCTCTCTCTCTCTCTCTCTCTGGTCTGATATCAACAGGTGGTTAGGAGGGGAACAGGAACCAATTATTCTAAGTTAACCAAAGTGGCTGAAACTGCAGCGTCTTCCTGACTTTTCCAAGAATGTGAAGGAGGGAGAGATGGAAGATGGAAGGATGGAGGATGGATGGACTTAAGGAGGAAGGACGGAAGGAGGAGGGAGGGATGGACTGAGGAAAGATGGAAGGAGGGAGGGAGGGATGGACTAAGGAGGGAAAGACGGAAGGAGGGAGGGAGGGATGGACTTAAGGAGGAAAGACGGAAGGAGGGAGGAGGGATGGACTTAAGGAGGAAAGACGAAGGAGGGAGGGAGAGATGGACTTAAGGAGGGAAATGAAGGAGGGAGGGAGGGATGGACTTAAGGAGGGAAGGACGGAAGGAGGGAGGGATGGACTTAAGGAGGGAAGGACGGAAGGAGGGAGGGAGGGATGGACTTATGAGGGAAGACGGAAGGGAGGGAGGGATGGGAGGATGGACTTAAGGAGGGAAGGACGGAAGTAGGGAGGGAGGGATGGACTTAAGGAAGGAGGGACGGGGAGGGGAAGGATGGACTTACAGAGGGAAAGACGGGGAGGGAGGGAGGATGGGACTTAAGGAGGGAAAGACGGAAGTAGGAGGGAGGGACAGAAGGAAGGACGGTGATGGGTCAAGGAATATATTTTTATTTTATTTATCTCTCGACGATCACAGGTACAAGTGGGTTCATTCGTATAATTTGGAATACACAATGAGATTAAGGTTTGTAAATGAATGGCTCCTTGAGTGAGACTTCATGAGCTTTATTGAGGTTAAATTGTTCATTCAGTCGGTAGTCTCCGGGAACTACCTGACGACGAATGGAAGGACCAGAATAGACAGTGTGGTGAGTCCTGTAGTGGTTATAGAGAGGCTCAGTGTGACTACAGGATGAAATAATAACTGTATAGAAGTTGACGAGAATTGATGAAAAGATGAAAATTGAGATGAAAATGTAGTATAATGACTGTGTGTGTGTGTGTGTGTGTGTGTGTGTGTGTGTGTGTGTGTGTGTTGTGTGTGTGTCTGTGTGTACATAAGTCACCCCATATAAACATAACAGCCGATCATCTCATATCGACTACCTGGCTACCTGGCCGTATAACAAGACCACAGGTATTAATCACCCAGTACTATACCTTGTTCACCTGAGTAATCAAGTGATACCTGATACCTTTTAACATTAACCACTCAATCACTCATTCTTCCATAAACTAGGCGTAAATAATATCACCTCATTCACCCATAAATAATCTTGTATATAATTAAAAAACCCATTGAGTAAGGCTTTGAAAATTTATACTTAGAGAGGGGGAGGAGACAGGTGGAGAGGGGGTGGGGAGACAGGTGGGAGGGGAGGGGGGAGGGAAGTTAGGAGGGGGGAGGAAGTAGTGGAAGGTGGGGGGAATGT